TTCTCCGTGACACACGAGATACGGTATTTCGATAGTGAAAACTACCCATAGAAGGTGAAAGGGCCCATTAAATTTGAGCCTCTCTATACAGACTTCCAGGGTAAGCCCAATTTGCGCTTCACGCAAAATCGTGAAGCGTTCCACATTTTTTTAACAAATATAAATAATGCTGTGAATCGGGAAAGAATAGGAGTTACGGATAATTATTACGTGAAGCGTTCCAACATTCACATAGGAGAATATAATATATATTATAAAGAGGAAAGATTTGATTGTTTGTTTGTTTGTTTGTTTGTTTGCATCGAATAGGCTCCAAAACTAATTTCTTTCACTGTTGAGAAAGCTACACTATCCCCGGGTGACATAGGCTATATGACATCATAATTAATGTTGAAATTTTTGTTAAATACCCGTGCAAAGCCGGGGTGGACTGCTAGTTATATAATATAATTATATATAATTTTTTTTACCCGGGTGGGTATATAGTCTGATATACTTATATCAAGGCATATATAGTCTGATATGGCCAATTTCCATATCAGGCCTGATATGGACGGTTTATATCAGGCCTGATATAGTCTGATCAGAAAATTTTTTCACGGGAACCGTGTTATAAAATCCTGGTGGCGCCCTTAGTTTATTAATATTAGCTTTCAATTTGTTGTTTAATTATTTCTACTAATTTAAATTAAAGGGGCCAATAACAGGCATAACCACCCGTTACAATAATTATGTATGATTATATACTCTTACTTAATTATACAAAAATAGCTAAAACTTTCTATAGAAATATGTAGAATTACACATAATTTTGCATAATTATATGAAATTTTATATTATAATATATAATTTTGCGTTGTTATATATAATGATACAAAAATCATCTAAACTATTATATAAAACGATATATAACCATACATGGTTATGCATAATTATATACAAATATACAAAATTAAGGAAAAAACATATCCAGAATTATATACAATTATATATAACTGAATAATTATATATAATTGCACATAATCTTTTTCACCCGGGTTCACAAATTCCTACTATTAGGTCAATCTTGTCGAATTAAATTCTGAATTAGTCTTTAATCGTCTCATAACAAATCTTTTAATAAATTTTTACAAAAATTCAATGTTTACATGAATGTTGTTAATTTAAAATAATTTATAATTATTAAATTAATAATGACAAAGAAGTATTTATACCTAGTGTTGAATGTGTTTCAAATAAGATGACTGCTGAGTCAAGTTTACATTTGTGATAAATTTAAATATGAATTTTTTTGGTGAAATTGGAAATAATAGACATAAATTTACAGTAATTAATGGTTTATTTTAAATAATAGTCATTATTTTTAATAATAATTGCATGCATGCACCTCAACGAAATGTTTTGCCCTTGTCATTATTGAATCTATAAGTTTAATTTACTAATATGTTACATTTTTACTATTATTAGTTATGTTCTAAACTAAACGAATTTTGTTTACTAATAATACAAATCTAATTTAAATAAATAAGTATAAAAACATTACTCATTAGACATAAAAAATTAACCAAAGTTTAAAAAATAACCAATAATGTTTAAAAACATTACTCATTAGACATAAAAAATTAACCAAAGTTTAAAAAATAACCAATAATGTTCTATAATCGGTCAACCACTAAAACATTTACCCAATTTAAAAAAAAAATTATCCTCATTTCGGACCATAATTGTTAAAAAATTATTTCTTCCAACCTAATTTCTTTAGGAATTATTCTTAGAGCTTTTATTAATCGATATTAAAAAATAATGACAATTTAATATTGTACCTTTCGAAAGTTTTTAAAACCATACAATTTTTTTTAAATACAGCTTTTCAAAAAAAATTTAAAAATTCTTAAAATTTTTCGTTTCTTTAATTTTTTAAAATAACGTGAATGAAAATCAATGAATCTTCTTATTAGTCAAGAATGAAAATTAGATGCGTCATATGTCATACAAATTACTTTAAACTCTTATTAATATTACAAAAACTTACCCTTTGAGTGGTGGATGATATTCTCCATTGCTACTACTAGCAATTATCAAAAGTATTAATATAACAGATACCCTATTCATTTTAGCTAATAAGGCTACATCACATTCTAACAATCTTTATATTCTCTTGAATCCCGCTAAACTATCTTATTATTAGATAAAAGAAAAATGATAAGATTCTTGAATAATTTTTTTGTGCCTAATCATGTTGGTTTCATATCCATTTTTTTTATTTTATGATAGAAGTATCGCAGATTGTATTATAATCTTGGATCTATTGTCAATCAACGAAAAAAATATGCTGAAATAGTCAGATAACATCGATCTTTTAACAATCCAACAGAAATTCTCAGTATTTAATAATGATGATGACTTTTAGAAAATTTATACATCTATTTTTTTTTGCATTTAGAACAATAACTGTAAAATGAAATCAATTCTGTGAAAATAAATAAATTTCATATTTTTTATCGTTTTTTGCAGGAAAAATTAATAAAAATTAAAAATGTTCAATACTTGAAACTTTTTAATTTTAAAAAATATTGACAATTAATTTTTACAAAATATTATCCAAAATTAATAAACAACTTTATTGAATTCTTTTTGCCGGTTTATTTATACACTGCACAATTAAAGAAAAAAAAAATCACATTTTGAATAATTTTCAAGGAGAAGTTCATGATTAATAAAAATGAATTCACATAGTACTTGTTAACTACTTTTTATTTAAGTCTTTCTATAACATTATTACACATGAATTATTTATTTTAATATGAAATTAAATCATTTACTAGTAACGGTGACAAAAACTACTAGTTTTTATAGACTTAAAATTAGTTGCGGTCTCATTAATAAAAAAATCTAAAGGTTCCAAAAATAATTTTTTTTTTTTTTCATTAATATTTAAATTTTTTCTTGTAAAAATATGGTTCACAACAATAAATTAACAAAAAAAAGTAAAATTCCGTTACAACAATGCCAAGTGTCCATACACTCTAAGTCGAAGTTATCATTTTGTGATACAACGCAGCCTTATGGCTTTCTTGTCATTAGTACCTAATATTAATCCTCAGTTTTCAAACATTTATGAATATTTATTTTCTTATAGATAGTGTTTAAAACTAATATTCAATCATGATAAGTCAAGCTTGCTGAAATAACATTGCGCGTCAATAAATAATCAATGTTAACAGTTTAATTTACAAATGCCATAATTAATAATTTAAAAAAAAAATAGATTTTTACTAGCATATTTTGACCATGATGTATTGATGATGAACTATATTCTCATGCACAAATTCATATTTACAAATTTATTATACAAATAAATGCGTGAATGTAATTTCAACTAGTATAACTCTGATATTACAGACACTTTTTTTTGTTTTAAGTATTCTTTGAATACAATTTATTCATTTTATTTTCTTTTTGCAGTGGCTTTGCTGAAAAACTAGCTGCTTTTGTGAATCACTGTCATAGATCTTTAAGTGTAATTACAATGAAAAATAATTTCAATTTTCTTAGCGAGAAGTTGAAAAAGAACTAATTTTTATTTTTACGGTTGATAGTTCTTTGTTTTTTGATGACGCTAACATTCACTCCACTGAGAGAAAAAAGTTCTTTTGAAAAAAATAAACAATTTTGTAATAAGAAATTAATTTGTTGTAAATTTCAAATTATTTTATTTTTTAGCTGAAGAAATAAATCTCTTGTCATAGTAACTTTCTTGTTGAAAAAACGTTTTTTTTAATTTAGAAAAAAACAATTTTAGATAAACAACTTGCGAATTTTTATCCAAAATTGTTTTTTACTAAATCTAGAAAACTTTTTTCCTCAAGAAAGTTACTGTGAAAAAAATTTTTATTTCTACAGCGAAGAAATAAATTTGTTTATGATTTCAGCAGATTAATTTCTTATTAAAAGATTGCTCATTTTTTTCAAAAGACATTTTTTTTCTCAGTGTAGGATTGACGAATAGTTATAAATACCTTTATACTAATTCAGTACCAATATATGTCAAATACGGAACTAATTCATAAAATTTTCTACAAGTATAAAAGATAATTTAACCCTCGGAGTACACTAGGGGTCATTTTGACCCCAGAATTTTTCTTATCCTAAAATATTTTTCAAAAATAGATCCGTTTTTAATTAATATTTTCAACATTAAAAACTATTTAATTAAGAATAATAATGATTATATTCAAAAGAGCATTGTTTTACCTACCAAAAATGTAATAAACTTAATTCCGATAAAATGCATAGTTTCTGAAATATAATTCTAATTCTAATGCTAATTCTAATTCTTCGAAAGTCAAGTGGGGTCAATTTGACCCCGTGGGTACTCTAAAGTTCTATTCGGAGGTGTGTACTCCGAGGATTAAATATAAAACAGAGTACATCAGTGTTACTGATGAGTCTGTTAACATATCACCATGATTAAATACAATATAAAATACAGAATTCTGCTGTTTCTAAGTGACTTCGATGTGATAGCAGATTCTTACATAAATTAAAAAAAAAAATTAGTTTAAGTGAAACTTTTGGTCTCTTGATTAATTGCCAAAATCAAAATATCATGAGATCTAAGTATTTTTATAATAGTAATTAATAGGCTATTACATCAATGTGTCATAAAAACTGCAGTACTTCTATCAAATTTCTAGCATCAGTTCTAAAGAACTAATGCTTTTTATGTGCCTTGTACATAAATTATTCACCAGTATTCGCTGGGTGCGTGACCCCACCGCCACCTAACGATACAACTTACGGTGGCTTTTTTAAGAAAATTTAAATGAATTAGATGCCAAATAGTTATTTAAACAATTAAATAAACTTGAAAAAAATTTTTTTCTATGCAAAATGTGACATATTATACAGAATGTAGATTGAATTAAAAATTTTTTCTTAGGTCAGTTGGAAATAGTAATAAGGAAAATAAACACAATAACTAAAACAAATCTCAAGTGAATTAGGTTATAATGAGTGTTAAAATCTGTCAAGGTGTTTATTGTTAAATTAATATAAAAATTAAGTTAGCCGACATCTAAAAACTTTTAGAAACTTTTTTATTGAAAAATTATTACAAAAAAAAGAAAATAAAAAATTTCACTTCTGAAAAACTCGAAAAACTATCAGTGCAATTTTTTAAAAATATTTTTTAGTTTTCATTTAATAAATAAAAAATAATTAAAAAATTTTAAATGTCGGCTAACCTTAGTATTATTAAATTAATATTAAATGAAAAATCAGTATTAATATTAAATATATAACAATCTGAAATTATATAAAAAAATAACGAATAGCTATTTAATATAATTATATATTTACGAATGTATCTTAAATTTTTATTTTCTTTATTTAATTTTGCAATTTATTACCCATAATATTATTTTTTAACCACAAACTTTACTAAAGGATAAAAATTTAGTCCTGGCTGAACATATGAGAAATGTTGAGCAGCAGCTATCCATTTTTTTCGCTGATTTAATTTTTAATTGGCAACCGGAAACTTATAAAATTTACAATTACTATTTCTACTAGTATTTTTACAATCAACTACACAACAATTTTGATGACCCATTATATTTTATTTATTTAATTAAATTAACACACGTGTTATTTTCATAGCTTATAGTAATAAAGAGCCATCCTTAGTTCTGTATTGTCCGCAGCGGACGCTGACATCAGTTTTGTGTCCCCCACTATGCCTTACGCACCCAGCGATATTCGAAACAAAAGATTTTTATAGTACAATAATACATTATAACAAAAATGAAAAGAATTTGAGTTTAACGCATTCCCAATATTTTTCATTTTGTAAGAGTACAATTTGTTGTTGAAGCGAAAAAACGTTAATAATCCTTAGATAGTAATTATATGACAGAATCTTGTTATGCGTAAAATAAAATACATATATTAAATACAATTTTAAGAATTTTCGTTGAACAGAATAATCGTTTTTTAACAAAACGTATTTTTTATTTATATAAAAAAAATTTTTAATAAAAAATACAAAAGTTTTTATTCGTACGATGAAATTGACGATCAGAAAATATATAATAAATTATACGATAGATATGTTTTCGTAAAATGAAAACGATATCGAATGTTTAAATTTATTAAATTAAAAATTTATTTTTTTAAATCAGTTATTATCTTTTCATTTAATTGTTTCAATTCTCTATTACTGAAAAAACATGAAATATTTCTCACAATAGTATAAGGAAGATCACGAGACAGAGTTTCAAAAATTAAATCATCGACATTTTCTAATAAATGATGTCGCTGTTTCGCTTTGTTTAATTTAAAATAAATCATACCGCTGTATAATGGGAATTTTTCTTTCAATTCATACTCATCGTAAATAGGGTCGTCATCTTTGATATTAATGCAGCTCAAAAAATGAGCAATAGCATGGATACTTTTTTGCAAAACATCGTAAAAACTGATATTGGTATTAGCAATTTTAGTTTTCCTCATCGAGTCAACTTCTGCATAACACTTTTGACGATAATTTTTAGCATATTGATTACGATCAATTATGTCATTCAACGTTTTGTTCATAACATACAAATTAGCAGCACTCAATTTAACAGTATGTCGTCTTATCAATGGGATAACGTCACAAAAACTACGTGAATCATCAAAATAACTAGCTGCTACTTTATTAAAATCGATACCAGCATGAAGTAAGCTTTTAACAATGGTTATATCATCAGTAAATATAGCATAATCAAGTACGGAATTCCCATTAGATGTTACTCTATTAATATCAATATTATCATGATTTAACAACAATTTAACAGCATCGACATTATTCGTGTCAATCGCAATATGCAAAGGTGTTACATTGCAACCGCCGTTACTCGGAAAATTAGGATCAACATCAGAGTCCAAAAGATACTTGACAATTTTATTATTTCTATGACGTACAGCATCGATAAGTAATGATTCAAAATGTGTACTTTTTTCATTAATATCAGCACCATGTTTAATCAAAAATTTAACTATTTCTTCCTTACCTTCTCTCACAGCCATACGCAAGGGTGATATGCTACTTGTGGATCTCAGTAAAGTGAGAGGATCAGCACCCCGACTTACAAGAAATTCAGATATTTTTATCTGGTGTTTTCTGATAGCCAATTGCAAAGGATTCATAAAATCGTAACGGCTCATACATACTGCATTTACGTCCGCACCAGCATTAACTAATTTACGGACTATATTGTGTTTGCCCTTTTCAATAGCATGATGAAGAGCAGTGCCATAGCATCTGGTACTAAGGTTTATTTGAATGCCTTCTTTACTCAAAAGAAAGTCAATAAACTCTTCGTCATTATTATCGATAGCACATTGCAATATTGTAGGCCTTGAAGAAAGATCCGTTTGCAACGGTACTCTTGTATTTACATCCTCGATTCCGAGTTTTACTTTATCGCGTGTCTCTCTATATTTTTCATCAGCTACTGACCGTTGATGACGACACACACCCATCGGTCTGAATTCCAATCTATGTCTCTGATAACAGAAAAATCATTTATTAATTATTGGTTGTTTATAAATATAAATATTTGAAAATTTTTGGGTAACTGATTAGTTTCACGATCACCTAATTTTTTTTTTTAATAAAAAATCCAAAAATAAAAATAAAAAATTTTAATTTTAATAGAAAATGTTGACAAATAGTTTGACAAAACAAGTTAAATTCAAAAAACAGTCTAATATACAAAACTCAATTGTAATAAAAAGGAGTAAAACGAAAATAATTGTTTAGTTTCGTAGTTACTCTGTTTCTAGATATAAATTTATATGACTAAAATTTTTTTAACTTTTGATACATTTTTATTTTTCAAAATTCATTAAAAATTAAATAATAAAAAAATTGAAAATAACTATTTTTTATATAAAAAAGAATTTTTTTAAATATGATTAAAAAAAAGCCGAATATTATTGATTTTTTTCTGTAATTATTGTTTTGGATTAAAGCTAAAAAAAAAAAAAAAAAAAAAAAATATTATATTTTTAACGAAATTATTAATTTTTAGTTAATTTTAATTCATTTCAATTTGTTGGAATCAATTTTAATGAATTTTTAATTAATTTACAAACATGTATGGAATTCACTCACATTCCATGCTCACATTCCATGCTTGTAAAGGTGGATCCTAGGATCTCCGCCGTCCATCTTATGGCATAAAATAAATATTATTATTTTTAACGAAATTATTAATTTTAGTTAATTTTAATTCATTGGAATCAATTTTAATGAATTTTAATTAATTTACAAACATGTATGGAATTCACTCACATTCCATGCTTGTAAAGGTGGACCCTAGGATCTCCGCCGTCCATCTTACGGCATAAATTAAAGCTACGTCATATAAATCAGAATAATTTTTTATGAAATTCAAAAATGATAATTTTTTGATTTTTTATATATTTGTAATTTCTCTAAAAATATTTCTAATTTTAATTTTAAAAGACCGTATAGTAAGGATACGCCCTTTTTACTTCATAATTTAATTTTAAGTATTAGGCTTATGATAAGCATTTCAGTAAATTGCTCGGAAAAAAATTGATAGATGCTCTTAGCTTTAGGTCATAAAATTTTTAAATTCCTAAAATTAAAAGGGCGCATAATTAAAGACATAAGTCCTTTTAGCTTTGGAAAATCAATGATTTTTATGCGTAGAATATGTCTACCAGTCGATTGGCGATAAAAAAAATTATGCGCCCTTTTAGTTTTGCAAAGCTAAAAAGGTACATAAATTAGTATGAGCCCTTTTGCCTTTTGACACGCGATGTATCTACCTAAGTTTAGTTATTTATAGGATTTTTTCTAGATTATAGTGTAAAACCAAATAATTTAGGAAAAAAATTTTTTTTTAAATAATTTTTTGATTTTATCATTTATTCAAACAAATTTTTCTTATCGAAAAATTAATGTTTTTAATAATTTTTTTTCTTTAATTATTCTATTTTTAATAAACTTAAAAAAAATTTGTGATAGATAAAAAAAAATTCAAAGTATGATTTTTATTTCAAATAAGTTATCAACCTGAAGTTCCGAACGTTGGATACCAACGAATTTTCAATTTCCTTGAAAACAGAAAAACATATTACTAACAGCAAAATAAGGAGCTCAAAGTATGAAAAATTAAATAAAAACTTCCTCTGGATACCGGAGACCAAGTCCCATCCTCACAAGTCAAGGCTTCAAATTAAAAGATCCGAAAAAATTACTTGAACGCTTTTGCTTACTCCAAAAAAATTCTGGAGTGTGTACTGCACTCATATAGACTTGAAAAAAAATCACGGTCAACCTCCGTACTCCGAAATCTTTTTAATCTATCCTCGCAGGTCACTTGTGAAGTTTAGAATTTGAAAAAAAAATTACTTGTACGCTTTTGTTTACTCCAAAAAAATTTTATAGTGTTCAATATACTTGTCCAAGCTTAGAAATCCTCAGTACAGTGGTTGATCGTGATTTTTTCCTCAAGTCTATATGAGTGTAGCAGATACTCCAGAATTTTTTTGGAGTAAACAAAAGCGTGCGAGTAATTTTCTCTTAATTTTTAAATTTCACAAGTAACATGTGAAAGTAGATTGAAAAGGTTCCAGTATACGGAGGGTAACCGTGATTTTTTTCCAAGTCTATATCAGTGTAGTAAATACTCCAGAATTTTTTTGGAGTTAACAAAAGCGTACAAGTAATTTTTTCTTAATTTATTATTTTTTACTGGTGACATATGAGGGTGGATTAAAAGGCTCCCGAGTACGGAGGTTGACCATAATTTTTTTTAATACTTTATGAGTGTAGCAGATATTCCAGAATTATTTCGGTGTAAACAAAAGCGTACAAGTAATTTTTTTTAATTTCGTTATTGACATGCGAGTTTGGATTGACGAGGTTCCGAAGTGCGGAGATCGACCGGGATTTTTTTCTGCGCTTGTAAAAGTGTATTATATACGACAGAATTTTTTAGGAGTAAACAAAAGCGTTCAAGTAATTTTTTCGGATCTTTTAATTTGAAGACTTGACTTGTGAGGCTGGAACTTGACCTCCGGTATCCAGAGGAAGTTTTTTGTTGTTAGTAATATTTTTTTCTGTTTTCAAAGAAATTGAAAATTCGTTGGCATCCAACGTTCGGAACTTCAGGTTCATAATAAGTTGAAATACTGTGGACCTTGAAAATAAAAAATTACCAATTTTTGTACAGTTTTAAATAAATAATTGAAAATCCAAATATTAATAATTAATAAATACCATCATCGTCCACAGGATTCAGAAATTGTAGTAGTGTTGATTGTATACAAAGATATCTTGTCAGTTCCTAAAAATAATGATCTGTATTAATATTTAGTTATTGTGACAAAGTTATTGATATTCATAAATATCAAAGAAATAAAAAAACGCTTGACACTTAGCCCTTAAAATCAAATTTTCCAACCATACCACATGTATTAAATATATGTACACACTTGAAAATTTTAATTTTACTTCCGATAAGCCATCAAATATAAAAATAAGAAATGAATTACAGTAGAACTTCTATAAATTTGAAGTCAAAAAAGAAATAGGCATTGCTGTTTTCGTCTTTTTCTTTACCCGTTTACCAGTCCACGATTAAAAGAAAAAGAAGAGAGTAGCTTTTCCTTACTCTTTTTCGACTTTGAGTATATAGAAGCTCTACTGTATTAAAGGTGATACTTGAAAAAAAAAAATTTGGAGCACACGCGTAGTAAAACTAAAGAGACATAATGCTAAGAAATTACAGATGGGTAGAAAATTTTTTGAATTAATTTTTCAGACTTCTTCATTTTTAATTGAATTTGGAAGTTCTAGAAACGAAAGTGGAAAAAAAAACACTATTTTATATTTCTTCACGAAATTGACATATGTGATATCACTTCAAACGATTTGAACTGAACTTCCGGCATTCAATGCAGTTTTTTGAATTCTGGTATTTTAATTTCAAACGTCGATTGGAAAAAAAATTTTATCTAACTTTAAGGTTTTATTTAACAAATCAATAAGTACTTAGGAAATATTGAAAAATATTGTATTCCTAAATCTATAAAATTTCTATATATGGTATTTGTTTTATAATTTCTTTCATAATAATTTGTTTATAAAAGAAAATTCTAAAAATTGTCAAGTAATTTGATTTCAGTATCATATTCATTAAACTATAAATGCTGAAATAGCAGATAGACTTTTTTTTTACAACTTAATTGGATAGTATTACAGAATGACACTGAAGTTAGCAGACATCTAAAAATTTTTAATTTTTTTTATTAAATAAATTACAACTAAAAAGATATTTCTAAAAAATTGCACTTCTAGTTTTTAAAGTTTTTTAGATGTGACATTTTTTTTTTTAATTGTTAAATTGAAATTTTTTCAATAAAAAATTTCTAAAAGTTTTAAAATGTCGGTTAACTTCATTTTCATTATTACAGATAGGTCGTAACAAATGAATTTTAAAAATTTCATTTTTCTAATTACGTCTTAAATAAATTTTGAAATCAAATAAAATAAAATTTCCGAAAAGTAATATATGACTAGCTGTTGCAAAAGCTTTATAATAGTTCATTTAACAATTTTTTCAAAGAGTAATGAGAAAAATAAAATTTAATTGCAAATTTTAAAAAATGAAATGAAATAAAGTCTGAAGCAATAATGTTTCTACCAAAATTTTTTTGACTGAATATTTCTACTAAATATCATAAATTTTTAATACACAAGTGCTATCGATAAAATTATTAAAAAAATATCGGTAAAGACGTCACCTACTGTTTAATTGTTACCTTAAAATTTTGATGAAAAAAAAAATAATAATTTGTAAATGTTTGGACTGAAAAATCTCTGTAAATTTCTGCAGGTTGACAATTTTGCTTGTGTCAAAAGTTATTGACAAACTTAAAAATTGAGATGACACTGAAATTAACAGACATCTCTAACATTTTTTTAGATTCTAATAACAATTAAATTGTAATGAAAAAAGTTTCACATAAAAAAATTAAAAAAAATAAAAGTCAAATTTTTAGAAATGTTTTTATATCATGATTGAAATGTTAAAAAAATTTTTAATCCGTCAGGTGTCTGCTGATTTCAGCATTATAAATTAAGACATAACCACGAAATCACAGTTTTCATTTTTTATATATGAAAATAGATTTACAAAAATTTTTTCTATGCATTATTGTTGAAATATTGTCTGCTGAATTCAATATTATATCATTTAAACCAACATTCCATGTAATCCATACTTATCGGCATTATTTATTTATTTTTTTTAGTTATAATCACCACAAAAAAAAATCCATAAATTTATTAGACAGTTATAAGCCCACCGACCGATAGTTAAAAACAAACAAGCTGAAATTATAATTTTTCTAAAGTTTTTATAAATTATAATTATAACACGATTTACAACTCACTATAGGAGACTGACAAAAATTTTGTGACATACAACTCATTTCATAAAAACACGTGCAGTTAATATTTGACATTTTCCTTCACCATCAACTAAATTTAAAAATAAAAAAAATATTTAAATGCACTCCATTTAATGTTTCATTTTATAATTTTCATCCATTAATTATAGATTTAGTATTGAAAGAACATACCAATTTCAGTGTGTGAACAAAATCTATGTTGACGGCAAATTTAGGGAGTTTATTATTTTTATTTCGTACTAAATGACAAAATTCACACACAATTTGTCACAAACTATATAAACCTATGATTATGTATAAAAATTTTACAATCAATAATTATATTGGAGCTGAAGTACCTAGTATCAATAGATGGTTAGACTCCATGAAAGTCTGAACTGAAACACACTTTAGTTTCCATAGAAGCATATGCATGGTCATGGGCAAAGAGTATAAGATAGAGGGGAAGGCTCTCATTAGTGGCAATGTTAAAAAGCGTACAAGAGTTTCAACGCCTCTAGTGATTGTGTCCAGTCATGAAAACGTAAAACGCGCGGGACATTCGGTTCAGTTCAATTTGAATTTCCTAAGATAAAATGTGAAAACAAATAATTTATGACAAAATAATTAAGAATTATTAAAATTTATTAAAGTAATAAATATCTGAAAGTACATAGTAATATAAAATTGATTAATGATAATCCTAAAATGATAAAACTATTATTTTAACAATAATTATACTGTAAAAATTAGCAAAAAGTAATCTTTCTTTTACAAAATGATTTGATATACGATAAAATTTACTCTATTTAAAAACATATTATAAAACTTGGTGTAAATATAAAGTTCTCTCATATTAATATAAGTTTTCTTAAAAGCAACTTATTAATTATAATAATAAAATATTTCAAAAAACATTTGATTACTAATCACTGCTGCAACAGCCAAAATTCTATCATTGCAGTTAGTAATATGAAAAAAATCTATTAATAAAAGAAATCTAGATACGAAACATGCTTTAACGTATATAACAGTATAATGATTAAATAATACGTATAAAAATTTTTTTGCTTACATGACTATAACAGATAAATAATATATAAATATATATTTTATTCAATCTTTTCCTATATATATTTTTCATTGGTATTCACTTTGGTTCGATTTTATCATTGGAATTTCTTCAGTAGTTGATTTTGCGAATTTCGACAATTTCCTTTTATTTATTTTTTTGGATGTTACAGTATCAGTCTTTTTTAGATCACGTCTGATGAATCGCGCTTCCCAGAAGCATCGTGTTTTTATAAAAATATTTAAAAATAATGTAGCATCCAAAGAACACAATTGAAAAGCTATGATAATTCTGGACTCAGTTTTGAGTATAAATGCGCCGATATATTTTTTTCATGAATACAACTGCGGATAATTTGGTCAAACTTGGTATTCCATTTTTTAACAGCTGTAAACACTATTTCTGTAGACTTTTTTGTGGCTTGGCGATTGCAGCACTGAGCTTGTTTAATTTTGCAAAAATCATGTTTCCGTCATCTTGACAGTTTGCCGATTCGGAAACTTTAGTTAATTGGGTAATAAAATTTTGTTTTATAGCTGTCTCGAATGATCTAGTAGAAGGGTTAACTGAACATCCATTTTGTTGACGAATAACTGCAAACAAATTTTCGAGAGGATCTTGATTCAAACGCCTAGTTTTCAATGCTGGAGTATTATATTCTTTTCTTAGCTCCTCAGATAATTTTAAAACACTGTTAATAGTTAGCATAATTCCTTTTTGCTTATCATTTGCTTATTATATTAAGCATAATAGCTTTTTGTTTATCATTTTTTTTTTTCAAATTTGCTATCAGCAAAGTGAAGCAGCATTTCATTTAAAAATTCAATGTGTCCAGATGTCTCAGTTATGGCAAAATTTAATTTTGATTTAACTGTTGGTTGAAGAAGATGCGAGTTAAGTGAACCAAATAGTTTATCCATGTCCAATAAGAAATCTGCCGTTGTATCATTGTCGGGAAATTCGTTCGGTTTTATCATACTGTAAGCTTGATAAGCTAAATACATTGAATTTGAAAAAATTTGAGTTGCTAGTGAAACAGTCATTTTAGCTGCGTTTTGTTGCATTCCAAAATGACGATCATTGATTTTTGGAATAAAATTAATGTTCATTTGGTTATACTCAACAAATAAACTTTGTAAATCAGTTTCCAATCTACGTATCCACCTCGGTATTTAAATCTTTTGTTAAATAGATTGTTGCGGAAAGATTTGATCAAATGAGGGGGGTCAAAAATGATATAAATCTTGCGTTTTTCATCACCAACTGTAAACTCGAAGAAAGGTTTATCTTGAGTTATTTTGTACTTCTTTATCAGTCCGGTATTTCTAGTTCCTTGATCACAAATTAAACATTTGACGATAAGACTAGTCTCATTCAATTTTTCAATAGTATTAACCATTATTTTGTGAGTTTTCGCTGAATTGCCTTTCTTTCCTAGAAACCAATATCCAATCATTTGCTTCATTGGTTTATTAATCCGAGTTATCATTGCTACTAATGCACAATGTGCTATTTCATTTGAACGCTTTTCCCCATCATCAGCATAACCGTGGAACATATCTTTGGCCGCATCATAGTGAACTTCAGTGGCTAAACTTATTTCGTCGAATAAAACGCTAACAAGACGATCTTCAATATTGTTTTTTGCAAACGTATCTTTAAGTTGATTTAATACAGTAAAATTTAAACCTGGAGTGGTAGGAAAATCTTTTTGATATTCATTCAAAGTCCTTATAGTTGGTATATGTAGAAATTTTGCCAGAAGCTTATAAGTTTTGGGGGAATGATATTTTATAGACAATGCAATATCTTTTACCTCGTTACTGTAGCGTTTAGCATATTTGTTCTTCACAGATAAGCGTAATTGGGCTGCAAATAATACTAAAGCTTTCTTACTCAAATAATTTGATGACGCATTTATTATTGATTCAACGTCTTGCTTCATTTTTTCTTTCACAGCAAATTTTTTCTCCATCCTGTTAATTTGGCTTCGCAATCGACCTATCGTTCTAGCCCCTTTATGCAGTCTTAAAGATTTAGGCGTTAACATTTCAATTTTTATTACTTTAGAAGATACTGCATTCTTTGGTGATCTGATTATTTGACACGGCGTTTTTTTTGAAAAAAGTTTAAACTTACGCATAAATTTATGAATCTTTTTAGGCGTACTATATTGCGCAGGAGTCTCAGGCGAAATATTCAAGTTTAGCGTTTCCGCCCTGTTGTTGAATGGCAACTCTTCCAATGCTGCTTTAGATTTTAGTTCTTCAGAATTAGTAAGCAATATGGGCATATTAGTATCATTTTGTGAGGCTGCCTCCACACTATTGAAAAGTTTTTCTGCTGCATTAAATTTAAGTTCTTTACTATCAGTTGGCTGTATTACTGCTTCTGGATTTTGTGGTTCCGTTGACTTTCCGATTTCTCGTTCGTCTTATAATGAAAAAAAAAAAAAAAATTATGACGTAATAGATGATGCTTTGTAAGATTCATGAACTTCTTGTGTTTGTGATTAGTAGAAAAAGTGGTGACAGAAAAAAATTAAACTAAGTAGGATAGGAATTGGTTTCACAATTAAATAATCTTAATTGTAAATTTTGTCGAGTTTTATTTTGATGTTGTTACTAAATTTTACACTGGTATTAATGCGTATAAGGCTGTAATAAATGGCAATTATTATATACTGTTGCTGTTCACTGTTGCTACGGTAAATTTGGAACATCTATCATAACGTTTCCGGGGATTGATTACAATGCTATTCGAACAATGTTAAGTTATTTACAATTTTCCAATTTTATCATCTCCATAATAAGAAAATGTTAATTTAAGGTATTTAAAATATTTTCTATTTTTTACCAAAAATTACAAATTTGTTTAAATTTTAATAAGCTATTTAAACAAAAATTCTAAAAAATATTTACAATTTTGATTCAGATATTTTTGAAACAGTAGTAACAAAAATTCTTATAAATAATATTTACAATTCGGGCTCAGACATTTTTAAATCAGTAGTTACTATATAATTATTAATTATTTACAATTATTAATAACAAAATATCACATTTTCTTAGGTATTGAAATAATAAAAATTTGGAAAAATTGTAAGGCTGCTTGTTACAATAGTTATAATTTTCAAAAAGCTATCTCTCAGTTGATTATCACAGAATTTTTTTATGAATTTTTTTTTAAGTATATCTTCTGCACTTTATCCCCTCACTTTAGGATTTATTACATTTTCTATGGCTTCACCAGTTTCTTTTACTCGACACAAACGCAAAAAAATCATGAATTTAAATATTAAATACAATTAACTGATTTTTTTAGTCTGTATTCAAGTCACAGCTTCTAATGCAAGCAGAAGCACTTCTTACCTCTTAATGAAATTTTCACAAAGCTATTTGTTTCAATATTAATTAAAGCTGGTTCCGTATCAGTAGCCTTGCGTACTTCAAAAGTAATGCCTCTGTCATTATGCGAACATTCATCTGTAACAAAAATATTGATATTTCTGATATTGTTCTATTTTACTACTGAAACAATTCTCAGTTTTTCTTTAAATTATTTTTAAAACAATACCTTTCAAAGCCGGACGTTCAAATATAACTTCGTCATTGTTGACGTTTACCAATAAATTTTTTGCAGTTGAATTTGTCAAAGGAGATTTTGGCATATTTTTGGGCATCTTCAAAATATTATCAGGCGGAAGTAAAGTTGGAACAGCATTTGATACTAATAGTCGTTTGGGTGGTGTATTTTTCTTGATATAACGTCTTTCAAAATGATCGGAACAAATTCGTAAACTGTTTGAAAACCCCTTATACTGAGCAAAGTTCTTCCATTGTTGGCGTCTATACAATAAAATTTATAAATCAATTCAAATTACTAATTTCATCGAGCAAAATTTTTAATATTATATTATTTATTACATTATTAAATGTAAATAAAAAATTTACAGGATATAAATATTTACAAGCAAAAAAAGTTGATCGATAATCAATAACTTACTTTTGAGACGCTATAAATTTAATGCCTATATTATTACTTACATTCGTTCTTCTTTTGGCCATAAAAAAAAAGAATGGTCTTTATCTATTTCTGGTCTTCTTAGACATCCTTTCACATTACACCGAACCATATTTTTTTAATTAGTTTAAAAAAAATTTTTTATTAAAATAAAAATCAAGTGTTGTTAACCGTTACAAGCAACTTTGGTATTACCAGTATGACGCATTACTTTAAACCGCCATGACAGTAGTTTAGTACTTGGACACAAACATCAGATGGCATTCGTAACTGTATACGCGACCTTCCCCTCTATCTTATACTCTTTGGTCATGGGCACGAAGAGTTTTTATGAGCATAGCAACTGACATCTAGCGTTCATAGCTGAAATTACGACAATCGTGAGTATGGATTTAAAAAAATGATAATTATTTAATTTTATAATTATTTTTTCATTAATTAAAACAATCCCTTATACTTTCCTAAAATAATTTTTAGTTCAATTAAGACAGTAATTATCTAAATCACGATGCAGTACTCAAAGTTTTAATTCAATATTTCATGAATAAGTGTTTCAAACCTAAAAATAACGAAGTTTCAAGAATGATCAAAAAATTAAGATTTGAGATTTGAAATTATTTTATATTAAATTGTGTAAAAAAAGGTTTATTTATTGTTATAATATTTATTTGAAACATATTTTAGTATAAAAAATATATAAAGAATTTGTAAATTTTATTTATTCATTTATTAGCTTTGTTTTTCATTCGCACGTTTTTGGTAACTATGACAACGGGATCGATTAATAGTTTCGCGTTCATATCCACTGGTTATCATGATATAATTTTTAAATTCAATTCTTAGAATTTAAATCACCTAATCTTAAGATAAAAAGATAAAATGTGGCAAGATCATGAAGTTCGTTTTGACGTGTCATTAGTGTAAGTATTTTTAATCAAGTTTTTTATCATAATAATTTATTATACACAGAAGTGTTTACAATAAGCCATGTAAAAATGATATGAGACCATGATAATCTATACCTGTAGGTCGCCATGAGATCATATAGAACTCATCACGGTCTCATATTTTGGCACAATCATTAGATCATGACAAGAGCATGATTTTTAAAAAATTTAATTATTAAATTCAGTATAATTTTATGAAAATTTGAAAAAATTTCAGAGCTTAAACCAATAACTTTTCAAAATGTCATGGCTTTTACGAAATTTTCTCATAAGTCGATAAGATTTAAAAGATATTAACAGGTGTGTAGGACATTAAGGATTTATTATGAGGTAAACTTAAAAAGTACACCGCGCGCGATCTTCACTAGATCTTTAAGAGTTCACCACAAAGATCCTCATGAGATCTTCAGAAGTTCTCAACGAGATCACTCTCTGTTTAAAAATATTGATTGAAAAGAACTAAAAATGATGAAATTCGAATTATTTTCAATAATTTTAATTTTTTTGTTTGTATATAAAAATATACATATGAGAATTTTTTAAATTATATAAAAAATATAAAAAAATTTTTTTGTTTAAAAAACGATTCATATGCCCGTTTTTAGTAGATTTCATAGAAATCTAACTACGCGGAAAGAAAAATATGGGAATTATTCCCATAATTTTATGGGAACAGTTCCCATCAGGTAATTATAGGAACTGTTCCCATAATTATAGGAAATTTTCCCAAAATTATGGGAAAATTTCCCATAATAATGGAAATGGTTCCCATAATGGTTATAGGAATGGTTTCTATAATTATAGGAATGATTCCTAAACAATTATAGGAACCATTCCCATAATATTATGGGAAATATTCCCATAATGATATAGTAATGGTTCCTATATCATTATGGGAACTATTCCTATAATGGTATAGGATGGATTCCTAGAACATTATAGAAATCATTCCTATACCATTATGAGAATCATTCTCAAAATAAAATAAAGATAAAATGTTCGTGCGGAGTGAGTTCGAAATGGTTCCTACACAATATATACACGGAAAAAAAAAATTTGGGGCAGCCACATGATTTTCATGTTGTAGGCAATAAGGCAATAATAGTTAAAACAACAATAATAATAAAATAATAATAATAATAATAATAATAATAATAATAATCTATATTATTAAGAGAATAAGGAAAATTTTGTGGCCAGTGTATTTATGTGATAAAATGAGTTTTTGCTTGGAGTTGTGCCTTTTCAAGGTTTCATATCATTCTCACCAATAGTCAATTTATTATAATAAGAATTTAGGCTGCATTCGAAAATGCTCTGTGTCTAGATACATAATGAAGAAATGACCTTGTATCTGGTAAACTATTGATATTTTTGAAGATATAAGCTCATCCCGATGTTACACTCATCAAGAGCTTTCATTTGAGTACCCACATGCATTTTTAATATATTTTTTATATATACATATATATAATATATATAAATATATAAAATATATGAAAAATTGATGTGGGTACTCAAATGAAAGGTCTCGATGAGTGTAACATTAATGTGAACTTATATCTTTAAAAATGTCAATAGTTCACAAGATACAAGGTCATTTATTAATTATGTATCTAGAGATAGAGCATTTTCGAATGCAACCTAAATATCTATCATCATAAATTATTGACTATCGACGAGAATTATATGAAACCTTGAAAAGCGCAGGCACAAATTCATGTCGCGTCCTTTGCAATGACACTTCACTAAAAAAATCGATTTCATCATGTGACTATATCCAGGAGACAAAATTGTTCTTATTCTCTTAATAATATAAATTATTATTATTATTATTTAATTATTATAGTTGTTTTAACCATTATTGACTGCCACATGAATCTTCCACAGGAATGTATCATGTGGCAGCCCCAATTTTTTTTCCGCGTAAGATTTAAACCTATATATTGTGGGAACCATTATATACTATTATGGGAATGGTTACCATAAATTATGGGAACTCTCTAAATCTTAAACAGTGAAAATCACTGGAAATTAGTGGTATATTCACTATTTCACAGTTATAAGTATACCACTTGGTATACTTATAGCTGTGAAACAGTGAAATTCCACTGATTCATTTTAAGAGAGAACCATTCCTATAATAGTATAGGAATTATTCCTATAGCATTATGGGAACCATTCCCATAATATTATAGGAATAGTTCCCATAATTTTCTTTCCGTGTATTGCATTTGTCCTCATGACGCAACTTTTGAAAAATTTTGTTATTTTTTGACTCAGTTCGTCAAGCTGGTTTAGAAAATGCCATTAGTTCAAAAGTTTATATAGGTATGTATTTATATATTTATATATATATATATATATATATATATATATATATATATATATATATATATATATA